TCTTGGGTGAGCTGAATGGGTTGTGCCTGACTGAATATGAAACGAAGTTTAGGACATTTAGTTTCAGTTTCCTGATCTCTTCCCCTCTGTATTTTCCACTTTCAATTTCCAAAGACAGTTTGTGGCTAAGCTTGTTCAATGTTAATTGACCTGTACAAAGCCTGCTTTGAAATACAGATTTAATACATATGCTGTTAAAAAAATGCTATTTAAAAGGGTGTCCCCATATAAGTTTAAAAGATTTATTTGAGCATGTTTAAATTGCTACACATGAAAGTTAGGTTGATCCCATGGTGGCTGTTTTTTCTAGGGTATCGCTTTGGTATAGTAGTTTTTATTGTGAAATCAAGCAGGTGCCATGAAAAACTGGACCACTTTCATCTCTTAACTTGTAGCTGTTGCAGGTTGAGAATGGCTCAAGGCTGGCCAAAATTCCCTTAATCAGTTTTCAGAAGGCTCCTTCGCAGGACGTGGAAAACAGGCGCTGTTGGAATACAGCATGAGCTGGACTGAAGGGGCCAGCAGTTACCATCTTGTCCAACATCACTTAACACCGTCTTAGCAAACTTCCTTGTCAAACTTTAACTGCTTTTTTTTTGTGTGTGTTTTGTTTTCAGTGGGTGCTTTCTCACAGACTATACTTCTTTTCAGGGCTGCCTTCACTTCATTTAAGCAAAAACAGTGAAAACAACTCATATGCTGTATAAGTTGCATTATAAATATGCCAGGGAAACACCTTCCTTTTCTCTACGTTTAACTCTCAGTGGTGAGAAACTGGTTAGCAAATAAAATCTGCAGCCCAGAAGCTAAAATGACTTGTCATTGCTGGGATATATGTTGCGTTTTGCAGTATACATTTCTTTATAGAGGTGGTTTTTTCCTCGCCTCTTCTTCCCCCTGCCTTTCGTTGCTTTTCAGTTTGACTGTGATAATTTATTCAGCACTGTTTTCAGAGCAATAACCTACTTTTTGGGAAACCATTCAATTCTTTCCACAGTAGCATGGGCATTTTCCCCCCCCTCATGTGTTTGTTAAGGGTCTGTGACAAAGGGGAAAAACAAGGTATCTTTGGGGAAAAGATACACTTGAAAACAAGGACTCAATCCAGGTAATTAGACGTACGTGAAAGAAACTCTTATTAAACACAAAGGGGTCTCATCTCTCTTGGACACATGCACAAGTCTCATTAACCTTTGTAGGAATTACACACATCCAAGGAAGATGGGCCTACAATACTCAGTCCCTCCATCCACTAAAAATACCAGCTATACAGTGACATGCATGTGCCAATAGAGATGTCTTGTACAGTACAACACACAGTGTTGCTGTAATCTATTGTTCAGGGCGACGGTGCAGGGGAGGAGGGGTGCGTAGCCGGTGTTGCTATTTCATCATTCTCCCTTAGAGTCTGACCAGTAGCATCTTGTCATTACAGGCGTGTAATTTTAGCAGTGAAAAGGGAGCGTGTGTTTGCTAGCCTGTGTCACTTACTGGTGGCTGTGTGGCTCTTTCACATTGTTCTGAGTTTAATTTACAAGTAAGGTGCCTCTTTAAAAAGAGCGCTTTTGCTGTGCTTGTGCCTGCTGGCTCTGCAGTGGGAGGCAATGGAAGGCGGGCAGCCCTTGGCTGAATTGGGCCCTGGAGCGGTACACAGTTGTCTTAATTGCTGCTGCGCCACTGCTTGAAGAGATTATGGCTCTGATTCTTCCAGCATGGAGCTGTGTGCACCGGCTGTGGCGTGGCTCCTTGCCTGCTGGTGGGAAGACCTCATTGTGCTGTGATCCTGCTTCCGGGACCAGCATCTCCTGCTCCTGTGCAAGGAGGCTCAGAGTGCTGGACTTGGGGAAAGAAACCATGATATGGAGCAGGGAGAGCTTCCTGGCTGATCCAGGGAGGCTTGTGCATAAAAGCCCTCACATATTTTTCGGGTGACAACAAGCAGAGTCTGCTGAATAATCGGCTAATCATGTAGTAAAGTCAGAGGACCTGGCCTAGTGCTGTGTCTGGTTTTCTTTGCTGCAGCTTTGATTTCCTACTACCAATGCCCAGGTGTGTAATGCAGCTCCCGGTCCTTGAGCTTTTGATGCTGGCAGAGGAGTTGCTTAGCCCGTGTGTACACAGCACAGGACAATTTGATCCATGCTCATCAGGCTGCCACGTGGAGACCCAAACTTCACAGCTCATTTGGGTGGTTCTCTGAAGAACCTCACAGAGTATCAGCCAGGCTGTTGTGGTGACACAGGCACTGTTGGTGCATGCTGTCATCCTGGGCAAGGCTACAAAGAGGATTGGGCACAAAGTTGACCCAAGGAGAGGGCGGCTTTGCCATCCTCCCAAAAATCTCTCTTCCTCCCAGTGACTAACCCTAACAAAACAGCTCCTGGGAGTGGGAAGGGGGAATCCTGCACCCCAGTCTGACTCAAAGCAGGCACTGCTGCGGTTGGTGGTCAATAGGACTTCATCTGCACCAGGCCTGTGAAGGGCTGAGGTGGCATTAGCAGCTGTGGGCTTGTTTCATAAAGCTTCCAGTTAAGGAAAAGACCAAAAAGGATAGGCTGGGGTCTTGTTTGCATCTGGTGGCTGCTATCATAAAGTTGCTGATGAGAAGTCCTGTCTGAAGCAGGACATGCGAGAATGACATTTTGACTGTGTGAGACCTTTGAGAGAGAAAGGTCTGGGCAATCCAAGCCTGTTCTTTTCTTCCAGTAAAGACAACTGCCTTCCTTTACGTGAATAAACTCCGTTTTGAATAAATGCTGTCTAGCCCAGGTACATTACAAAGCTACATCCCCCCTCGCTTTGTACAGAAAATACGTTGTCAAGAGTTGCTCAGAGCTTTTGCTCCTCAGCCTCACGGCTGGTTTGCAGCACAGGACCTGTGCCGTCTTGTTCGCCTTCTCATTCTGCCAGGGTAGTCTTTAATGGTTTAACAAGCTAACAAGTGCTCGTCTGATTTAAACTTGCATTATGTTCTGCTACCCTGATAGAATTCCTAATATTATAAACACCCTTAATAACACAGCTATAATCTGGAAAACCTGCTCTCCTTTTTCCAAACAATTACTTAATGAGGCAGTAATTTATTCTAAGCTATATTTATTGGAGCCCATTCCAGCTTTATCAGACATACTCTGTTTGGTGTGTGCAGTTAGTCAAAAACATTAAAATTGCTCCACTTCTTCCAAGGGAACGTGTTACATTTAGCAAACTGACAGCATTAGAAGCTGTTTCCAATTTAATAGAAGCATATGTTTCCTGCAAGGCTTAACACACTGCAGAGTCGGAGATTGCCTTAGACTGTGGCTTTGCCTTTTTTTTTCAGTGCGGTAAAAGGGAGCTGGAAACCGAAGGCAGAAGTGGAGTTTGTAGTTGTGTTTTGGGGTTGTTTTGCTGGCTTGTGTTGTGCAGAGAAGCCTTCTACAGGGCTTGTGCAGGCCATGAGTTGAAGGAACTATCAAGAAAGTGCAGTGGGCGGCGCAGGCAGCGCTCTCGCTCGGAACGCAGTTTCTGATCATTAACAAACAGCCAGCGCTTGCTTTGCCCTCTGGGCCTCAAATAGTACAGTATGCAACAAGGGAGAGCAGGCAAGGCACGAGGATGGAAACAGTAGGATCAGATTACAGTTTCAAAATATCGCTGGAACACGTTGGCTGGCGTTACACTATTGACTGGCTTTATAATTGCATTGCTTATTTGCTACCGGAGGCTTCACCTTACTGCCTCATTAACATGGACACTCCTTCGGGGACTTGGGGATTCCAGGCTGCGAGCACCAAAGTCAACCCCTATGGGAGCTGCTTGACTTTAGATGCTCCTCAGATAAGAGTCTGAGCTTCCTCTGGTGTGTCCTGCTTGCCAGGAGGTTTCCTTGCAGAGTCCCTAACTAATTCCTGCTTAGACTGGCCTCTGAAAGTCACCCACTTACGGCTTCCCTCCTTTGGTTTTTAACTCAAGGCTAGAAAAGACCTAGGTCACTGAGCTTGCTGATTGCTCTCCCCCAGTCTTCACTTGTGAGTGCCTAAAGGCTGCTTCTGTAGGGAGAGGGAAGCTGCCTTTCTTGCTAAATGCAGCAGTGGGGTGCTGAGCAGCTTTGCTTGCCTCTCTGCTTCTTCTGGAAGAGCCAAGGTCCACCCGTCCACCACAGGAGATGGGAAGAGTTAGGTCCCTATAAAGTACATGTGAGAAATTCCTGCCACTTACAGTTACTGCTGCCACCAGCAGCCTTGCAGTGAAGGCTTGCGAACATAAAAACAATTCCCTGTACTCTCTGGAAGCACAGAGCTACCCAGGAGGCCAATTTTTTGATAGAGCTGTAAAGGAGACTTTTGTAAGTGCTTATTAAACCGCACTCGGTTAGAAAAAAGAAAGAAAGAAAAAAGGCAGCCAGAATGAATATAAAATGTAAGTGTTGGGGTAAAACAAACCTTGTAAATGGGGAATGTCTGAGCACCCCATCATAGCTCCATTCCTCTTGTTTAGGATTGGGGGTGTTGTTTTCTAACTCATGTGTGACACGAGACCCAGTCCTTACCAGGCAGCGGTTGCCAGGAGTCGTCTCCAGCCAGGCAATATGGACGTGTTGCATTTGAATAAGTCAAATCTGCATCAGATCCTGAGGAGCAGCCTTGGAAAAAGAAGCGAGAGGGGAAAAAAAGCAGGCAGCAAACCCCACAGCACCCGTCAGCGTGCGCGCGGCGAGCCAGCTGCAGCACAGTAAACGTAGCCGTGCGTTGCTGCGCGGTACACGCTGTACTGGCTCCCAGGGATGCTGCCGAGCCAGGATTTAAAGACCCCAGTGTCAACAGAGGAAATCTTCAGGGAGCGGGGATTTTCATCACGCTGTGGCTGTCGCCTCCCAAAGTCCACACTGCTGATTGCTTCCAGCCCTGCAGTTAGAGCTCGGCACCTGGGCTGTTCAGCTTTCCTTGTGCTAGGCGAGGCTGGGAGAGGGTGCCAGATTTATCCTGGCGTTCCCCTCCACTTCTTCTCTTCCTTTCCAGTGTTGAATGGGAGGAGGATGCCTGTGCTCTCGGAGGGCAGGCCAGCTCCCAGCTGCCAGGGCAGGTTTGCTCTGCTTTGCCAGGATCCTACAGGCCAAGGAGCATCATGCTGAGGTGGGTGAGCCCGTGGTCCTGCTCCAAGGGGGTCTTCCTGAGATGCCAGCCGCTCTGCCATGGCCTTGGGGATGTGGAAACAGGCATAGGGAGAGAGAGGCTTGCCTCCCTAGCTCTAGGGGACAGATACTTTGAAGTCATGGGGCTGGTTACAAGTACAGGTGGTCCCTTAGGCTGGATCTGGCAGCACTGAAATGCCCCATTGCAGCCAGCCTACCTCTGCTAGCTAAAAGGATCTAGCCCTCGTTCTTGCAGGTTGAACCCAGTTGCCATAAAAGGCCTTTTAATTTTGGTCCTGCAGCTATCTATGCCAAATCCTGATCCTGCTGAAGTCAGTAACAGAACACTCATTGACTATGGCTGGGCCAGGGTACAGCTAGTGCAACCCTCAAGGATGAGGAGTGAGGGATGGAAGAGAGGAAAATAATACTTCATGTGCCAGGAGTGACACAGTGCATGATTTACTGGATAGAGACTCTACAAAACCCTGGTGTGAGGTTCATTTGTACCTGAGGTTTGGGAAACTTTGTTTTGGGAATGAAATGTGCAAGTTCAGTACTTACTTTGTGGTTCAGGAGGCTTTTATGGGGGCTTTTGTGTTTCATTTTTTCTGTGCACATGTGTGAAGCAGTATTTTACTTAAATTCCATCAAGTCATGTCTGTGTCCTCTGTCCCCCCACTTCAATTTTAATTACCCAAGATTTCAGAAAGTAACTGATAGTGATTTAAACTCCATTTCTCACACAGGCCCATGCTGTTCACGTCTGTCAGTACTGGGCTGTCATGGGGGCAGTAGTGACCTGTGGACTCTGAGGCTTGATGCTTTTACCTTTTTGAGCAATGTGGTGTTCATTCTAGAAGTGAACCTCACTGTACTGCTGTTCATCCTCTAGACCAGGTGATATGACTTACTAAAAACCCTTTTCTGCTGCTGTGCCTCTTGGTGTTCAGTTCCTCTGAGCAGGGAAGGACTAGTGGGTTGTGGAATTGAGTTCCAAGAAAAGCCCTCAAGTCTTGAGAGACTAACTGAACTATTAAAAGCCTTTGAGAATTTACATGAAAGGGTATTTTTATTATTGGTAAGATAACCAAGTCACTTTTACCCTTCATTTTTACACACCTAGTGCTTCCCTATGGCAATCTCCCGATTATTAAAGACTTCGGAAATAGTCCAGCAGAGACAAGGTATAATGTCCTAAGTACAACTGATAAATACATTACTTGTCTCACAGCGTGTTGTGTACCTCTGTCTTCTGGAGAGCGAAGGATTCATCACTGAGTGGGCTCAGAGACATAGTCAGGCATTGCACAAGCTTTGCTGTGTTTAATCGAGGATGGGTGACTCCAGAGAACCACCCGCTCCAGGCTGATTATCTCTTCTGTTGAGCCCCAGCTGTATTTTTTTTCCCTAGCTCTGTCTGAAGGGGATGCAGAGCCAATAACAGGCAGCTAAATGACATACAAATATATATTAACTTTTGTTTTTCAATTAAGAAAAGCCAACTCCCAGACAATGCTAGGGTTTTGCTGGCTCTGAGGCGCGTGCAATCACCCTAAATGGGCAAAAAAGCAAGTTGAAGCTTTCGCAGCAACAGTGGTTCAGCTTGTGGGTCTGGGTCTGCCAGACCTGGAGCCAACTGGTGGGTAATATTGGGAAGATCTCCAAGCAACTCCCCCTACCCCAGTCCCTGGATAAATGCAGTTTTTCCATTGCCTTTCATCAGCTTTCTGGTTCCACATAACTCAGTAACATTGAAAACTAGCTTGCATACCAAAACCCTGCAACACCCTTTATTAAAACAACAACAAAGTGACATCCCATCTCAACTCTTAATGCTTGGCCCCAAAATGATGCTTGCTGGCAGACAGATGGAAATATAGCAGAAATACATCTGGCTGGGACTGCTGCTCAGCCAAAATGGATGCCTGGAAGACCCTCTATGGACATGACCGTCTGTCACTGCCTGTCCAGTCTCGTGTTTGGTGGATTGTTGTTGGCCAACTGTCCCATTATGGCCATAAGACTTGGTAGGCCAACTCTTGTCTTCTGCCACTTGGGAGGGTGTGGGTCTGTCTCCTTTTGTACTGATCTTTGGCCAGCCTGATCTGTTAAGTTTGGTGTTTTCCTTTTCCCAGCAGGAACTTCAGCTGAAAAGGCTAGGAGCAAAGTTTGAGATGAGCTAGACCTGAGCTAGATCAAATGCTGGCATGGTACAGCCTGACTTTGTAACGTTACTCAGTATCTTAAGAAGTACAACACTGATTTCTTAAATGTATGCATGAAGCTGCTGATTGAAGGAGAAAAGATGTTTGAACTGTAAAGAACAAACAGGCAACGTCTTAAGCTCTGGTGGTCAGAAGCTATAAAACTCCTTTATGGAAACCCAGAGAAAGGCTTGCAAGCCTGAAAGCATGTCTGTTTTTACCAGGTCTATCAGTTGGGCTAAAAGATACCGCCTGCTTGCTAGAATGAATAAAGTGATTTATAGAAACTGGAGGAAAATGTTTTCACAATTCCCCTTTGCATGCTGGAGGGAATAAAACGAAACTTTATAAAGCTGAGAGTCTGGTCATACTCATTTGAGTCCCCTCTGTGGGGGAATAAAACCCCCTTGCTTAGGCTGGTATCCTCCTTTGCTCCTTTAATGGTTAGACCCGCTTCAGAGAGTGTTACTGGGGAAAAGGAAACTGAAAGCTGTGCTGAAAAGCTAGTAGGTGACATTGGGAGTTGCCTGATCTATTTTATCTTTTGAAAGGATAAGCCCTGAACCAAGCTATGTGAAGACTGAGTAAGATGTGGAAGCTTCATAGTCATACATACAGGAAACCTTGACTCATTTGTAAGCTTCCTGGAAAATGACGTAGTGAGAGGCTGTCGTGTTTACTAATGATGATCCCATAGCTCTGACTGATCAGCTTAAACAGCATCTTAACTACCAGCACCTCAATCTTTGATGCAAGTGGATTCAGTTGGGTTCATCCAGAATGCTTGCTGATGAATAATAATAACAACTGATAATAATAGCTAATAGCTGAGCCCAGGGAGCTGAGCGTGGCCACCCAGGAGGTCTGTTTCCTTTATTGGGGGGAAAAAGGTTTGCTTTGTACAGTGAATATTTTTATACATTCCTGGCAGAGCCTGACAAACTTTGAAGCTCTGATAGTCCCCAAGCAATTCAAAAATGTCTCCTTTAAATAGAGCACTGTGGAAAGAGCATTGCTATGTCTTTAGGACAGTCTGCCTTCTTTCAGGGGGAAGAGGTAGCAAGAAGGGACAGAAAGCTCCTAGCTCTCCTCCTCCCCATTGCTGGACTTGGGCAAGGGTGTCAATTCTTGGTAGCCTGGTGCTCCCTTCCTTGCTCTGTCTGAAGTGATAGGGTGCATGTCCATCTTGAACAGCAAAGCCCCCCCTTGCACCCCAGACCCATATGCACAGCTCTGGAGTAGTCCATGGAAGTCACACTAGGGAGCAGAGAAAAACCAGGCTTCAGCAGCAGTGAGAGGTTTTGTTCACCCGAGATTCCAGGCGCGGGGATTGCTGGTAGCTGGCCAAGGAGCTTGGATGACAGCCTACCTGTTCCTCAGCTCGCTCAGCTTGTTCTCTCCCCCCTGCCTTTCCTTCTTTAATTGCATAATATGTTAGAAAATGATCTGGATTTGGGACTTATTTTAGACCAGAAGAGGCTCACTTCACCCAGTCTCATTTTGGATTGAACAGCCAGCAAATGCTTTCTGAAGCCCTTTTTTTCTGCATTGAGACCCTGACTTATTTTGCCCCTTTCTCCTGCTTCTCAAGGGCTCTTTGCTTTTAAATGTTTGTCACCCATTCCTGGGGAGGTTTACAAGTCCTTAGCTGCTTTGCCTGTCTGCAGAACCAGTCTGTAATGATTGAGTTGGTGTTATGCCTGCCTGGTGCAGATCGGTTTAGAGGAATTGGGAATTGTACTCAAATAAGGAAGGCAAATTTTGTCTCCTGAATGATAGCTAGGCAATAGCTAGGTAATAAAGCTCATACGAGAGGAGTCAGATTTGGGGTTAAAAATGTATTTGGCTGTTGCAACTTCTGTCTGGGTATCTGGGGCTGGAAAGCATCTTCCATTTTATTTCCTTCTTCAAAACGAGACAGAAATCTTTGTGCTATTGTGTTAGCGTTTTGTTAAATGGAGGGAGAGATGCAGGGATGAACAGGGAGCTGTCTGGAATGCCAGTGAAAGGGCAGCTGGGTTAACGCTCCAGCACCTCACTGCTCTACCTGGGAAAATAAGGAAAGCTGAATGTTTGCCCTAAGACATGGAAGCAGGCGGAGCCAGGGTGCTGCCCTGCAATCCTACCCCTGTCTGTGCAGGACTTTTCCTTGGCTGATCTGATGTAGCCTATGGGATGGGCAAGTGAAGTGTGGTAACGGCCTCTGCTCCTTCTAGTTTGATTTAGATGCAATAAAACAGCTTCATTGGGAAACTGGCCCATGAAGATGGGGGGGGGGGGAGAGGGAGAGTTGGAGGCAACTTGCCATCACACCAGCACTGAAGGAAGTCCCTGTTCCAAGGCCTGTGCTGTTTCACCTATGTGATTGCGGCTATTTCACCAAACCAAACCATGGCTACTTACTGGAGATGGGTGGTGGTGTGGGGCAGAGGGCTTCTGTCCCTAACACCTTCCATTTCAGGTGTAGAATGTTAGGTTGTGCCTCTGTCACGGCACAGCAATTGCTGCATTCATCGGTGTTTGGGGGGATCTTCATGTCACAAAAATAACGGTGACAAAATGAGGCTGCTGTGTTGAGGAGCGTTTCCAGGCGCCCGGAAGCATCCTGGAAGAGACGGCACCAGGGATTGAACTGCCCTACTTACTCTTAGCTCAGCAATTATTTATGATACGGGGGCAAGTTTGGTAAAATTCCCATTGTTTCCCTCTTCAAAATCTGCCATCTGAGCAGGAGAAAAGCGCACACATTTATGCTGATTTTTGTTCCTTAAAAAGCCCTCCACCATTCTTTTGTTCTCAAATGAAACCTGACATGGATGTAGCCCTGAGTGAGAAACGCTTTGATGGGGGGAAGGAAAGACAAATGGTGCATCCAGAGTGATGCGTCCTTGCTCTGGTGCAAAAGCTATTTTGTCTGTGGCTAGCAAGCTCCCGAGAGTCTTGCCAGAGGAAGCAAAGGCTGCTGGCATTGCCTTAGCCAGGCAGAAGCTGAGGTTTTCAAACACCATCATGTGAAAACGCTTCCCATACCCAGAAAAGCAGGGGGTGAGAACACAGCCCTCTGTCAGAGCTGCCATTGCTTCATGTGCAAGTGAGGATGCAGCGGCATCACCCTAGTGCAAGGGGCCGGCAGGTCCACCCTCCCATAGGGATTCACAATGTGGGACCAGGGGTGCTCCTGGAGTCTGGTCCCCGCAGGGGGATGCTCAGAGCTTCAGGAGATGCCAAAATCATTTGAAGCTTTCTGAGGCAGATGCCCCTGTCCTCAAACTGGTACCCAGGCACTGTCAGGATTGAAGGCCCTGGTTGCAGCAGGAGAGAGTAGTGTGGAGAATGGTCTTGGGGATTAAGACTGAAAGACCTGATGGATCATCATCTTCATCTGTAATTTATCTGATTCTGAGCGTACCAACTGCATTTTCTGCTTTAGTATTTAAGTCCTTAGGCAATCAGTTAAATAATCCCACAAGGTCTCATAGGCATATAGCTTGGTGTGCTGAAGGGTTCAATCTCCTGACTTCACCGGAGAGGTTTCTCTCAGTATATGATTGCTTGAGCCTTGCTCTCCTTCGCCCTGTCAACATGCTCTTGAATGACAAGGGAAATGCATTGCAAGAACTTTGGTCTATTAGGTTTGTGTTCCCAAGCATAGTACTGCATCAGTCAGGAAATCTAAAGGAATGTTCTATATACCATCTGTAGCTTGTGCACCAGTGTGCAGATACTTGGGGATCATACGTTTAACATATTCGGGAGGGAAATTTGCTGCCAAGAGTGCAAGGGTTTGAGTTGTATAGATGCTGTTTGAGTTCCTGCTTGTAATTTACCAGTGTAGTGGTGCTGAAACGTGGTGGACCAGAGCACTGTGTTAAGGTGTCCGCTGTGCTTATGTGGACTGATTTCCACTTGTTAGGGGTAAGTAAGGAGGAGACAGAGTGGTCAATCTGTCCATACTGCTTGTGCAAGGGAGTAGTTGGACTGGGATAGTGACTTGGGCAGGAAGAACAGGCTTCAGGCTTTGCTGGCTTCATCAGTCTTTACTCTTTTCCTTTCAGATATATGTTGGGGAAAGGAGGAAAGCGGAAGTTTGACGAGCATGAAGATGGGTTGGAAGGCAAAGTGGTGTCTCCTACTGACGGTCCCTCTAAGGTGTCTTACACCTTACAGCGTCAGACTATCTTCAACATTTCCCTTATGAAACTTTATAACCACAGGCCATTAACTGAGCCAAGCTTGCAAAAGACAGTTTTAATTAACAACATGTTGAGGCGAATCCAGGAAGAACTCAAACAAGAAGGCAGCTTAAGGCCCGTGTTCGTGACCGCTTCGCAGCCTGCCGACCCTCTCAGCGACAACTTCCGCGAGGCGCAGCCGGCGTTCAGCCACCTCGCCTCCCAGCCCCTTCTCCCCACTGACTTCGTAAGCACTATGCCCCTGGAGTCCTGCCTCACCCCAGCCTCTTTGCTCGAGGACGACACGTTTTGCACTTCCCCGACTGTCCAGCACGATGGTCCCACAAAACCACCACCTCCTGCTCTCCAACCAGTAAAGGACAGCTTCTCCTCAGCCTTGGACGAAATCGAGGAGCTTTGTCCAGCACCTACCTCCGCAGAGGCAGTAGCAGCCCAAACAGCAGCCGATGACTCTAAAGACCACCCCAGCGAGTCCAGTGTCCAAAAGCCTGAGGGCCTCCCGGAGAGCAGAACGGCTGAATCCAAACTCATGGACTCCCTACCTGGCAACTTTGAGATAACAGCTTCCACAGGGTTCCTCACGGACTTGACCCTGGATGATATCCTGTTCGCTGACATTGATACGTCCATGTATGATTTTGACCCCTGCACGTCTGCCACGGGGGCTGCCTCAAAAATGGCTCCTGTCTCAGCAGATGAGCTCCTAAAAACACTCGCTCCGTACAGCAGTCAACCAGTAACTCCAAATCAGCCTTTCAAAATGGACCTCACGGAACTGGATCACATCATGGAGGTGCTCGTTGGGTCTTAAAGCGTAGAAATATAGCAAATTTTTTTTTGTTGTTGTTTTAATTATTTTAAGTACCAATATATACACTCGGTAGTATTTCCATAGTCCCACCCCCAATTCACAGCACTGTGCATGCGTCCTTGCTTGCCTTTTTGGAAGAGAAAAGGATCACACTAGTTTTTGCTTCAAGCAGAGTTGGAGTGCCTTCATCCATGTCTGACCACTTCTAATGTATTTTTGTTAAAGTGGTTCCTCAAGGAAGACCGAATATCCTGGGATAGGGAAGAATATCTATTGTAGACAATGGTATGTTACTACAAAAAAAAAAGATAAAAAAATGGGAAAAAAACTATGTCAAAGCTAAGCACAAGGATTATGTTGGGGAAAGCTGTAAATTGCATGTGCATATTTGTCTATTTTTTCTATAAGTTTTATTGCAAGAGGTAAAGAAAATTTTATTATTTAGATAATCTCAATACCATTTTAGCCCTGTCTAGGTTGACTTAGCAATTCAGCCTTTTGGAGGCATTAACCTGCTCCTCTTTAAGTGTTGCATTTACATGGCTGTTTAGAAACTGCTGCCCAAATTTATTTTATATTTTTGTACAGATTCTGCAGTTTATGATATTGTTTTTTCTAAAAAACAAATGCTGTTTATACACACAAAAAAAAAAATAGCTATTTTGATAGGATTTGCTCACATAGTTCCTGCATAATTCAGATGTACAAGAACCACTTGTACTTTTATACAGAGTTGTAATGTTTTATATGTGTATGGTGCAAAGAGAAAATTGGATCAAATAAGCCTGCAGTCGGTTTCCCTGAATGCAAACAAACAAAAAAGTGCTTTAAGAAAGGGCTGGGAGCTGCTTCTGTCGGAGTTTCACAAGTGTTTGCTCCCTGCTGTACCCACTGCGCACTACTGTGATTCCTGAAACTCAGAGCCATGTCCTTTTCCAACACGTATGTGAAGCAGTTGGCAGGAAACAGTTGTGGAACTTCACCCGGAGAGGTCCTGAGCGCCACCACCGCGGCTCCAGCCTCCCTGCTCCGGTGTCCCCTTGCCGGGGCATCCAGTCCATCCCGCGTGACGTGGAGCGCCTTAACACAGCGGCGGATCAGCGCTTCCTCACCCGAAGGTGTGGATGGAATTCCTCACTCCTGGGAATGAATGGTTTTGAGGGGGAACGTGCCCATTGCCCACCGAGAGCCAGCTCTCAACCTTCGTGACCGACGGGCGAATGAACGGAGCGGGCAGAAGACTGGCGTTGGCAGCATCCACTCACCCTATCTTGGAGCATTTCTCCTTCCCTCTCCCCACCTCACTGTGCTAAGTGCTGAAAAAGGCAACTTCAGTATTACTGCAGTGAAGCTCATCTCTTAACCTGCACTGGATGGACTTGCTTCAATATCCATTGCTGTTGAAACTGGAGCCAGTCGTGTTGCATCACTTGGCATCTCGCGTAGGGTTGGTTTCTTGTATCAACTGTGTTACCTGCTTTACACTTTATAGACCTGTTTTACAACGAATATACAGACACAGCTTTCTATGCATGGTCCCGTTCCCCCTAACACCTGAGAAGTCTTCTCATTACTGCACCAATAGCATTTTTTAAGTTCATTGTGGTGTACATTTAATTTAAAGACCTACGTTTGCAATGTATCATGCCTATTGCTGAAGTTGCTATGGCATTTTAGTTTTTCAATGGTACTTTAGCTGTTGAGTGCCGGTTACAACCTGTATTGTTGACATGCCTATGGCTTCTTTAGGAATAACTTTTATATTTATTTAAGAAATTTTAAATTATGTTTTACGTCATTTGGCAATATTCAGTCCGTTCTGCTCCCTTCTTGTCATGGATGAAATTGGGTCTCGCCTGCCTTGTGAGGAGGCAGCTTTTTATAAATTGGCACTTTAAACCGGGCCATATGTATTTATTAGTCTGTAGATAGATAGATGTAACTTAGATGTGCGCACAGACACAGTGAGAGAGCAAGTACGGTTTGCAATGAAGGAACTCCTAATGGAAATGCGTCATCTACAAGTACAAAACGTGCTTCTGGCTCCTAGTTCATCTGCCAGGGTGAGATGTGGGGCTGTGGGAAATAACTAAGGGGGTGGGTTTGCTTTCTTCTTTTTCCCAAGCTGAACTCAGTGGAGCAATGGATTTGAAGTAGTTTCCTTACATAGACTTAAAAAAGAAAGTAAGCTATTGTTTCAGCCAGAAAACCATTGACCAAGTGTAGCTTTAGGGACCATCAGAAATGCGGGGTGGGAGGTGGGGGGCGGTTCCATCTCACACACCGCAGCCCCTGTAGGAAAACAAATGGCCCTGTTGGATTCTGCACCTCCTGGAGCTGGAGTAACTGGGAAAACATGGGCAGTGCTGTCAGTGCTACCACGTTTCCCATGGTAACTTGGTAAGTGCTTGCCTTACCATGGTTAAAAATTGATCTGCAGTGTGCTGGAGCTGCCTGGTGGTTTTGGGATTCCTTATGCATTTAAACAAATATCATATGCCAGGCAAAAGTTGACATCAGTCCCATTTTGGAGAGCTGTGCTGTCAAGTGGGGTTAGTTGGTTTTTGTATCCAGAGGACAGGAGCCAATCTCTGAATCCTCTCTTCCACACAGAAGATAATGTCTGTGTATCCTTGGTGCTGAAGCACATGTCCTGTAGCAGAATCCTTAGGGGAATCCCATAGGATATAAGCTATGGGACTGGGCAAGAGGTTAGCAAGGTAGTGCATGCTACAGCGGGAAAGGCTCAGCTGTGGTTTTGTCCCCATGCAGTCACTTACTGTCTCTAGTGTGGCCTTTGCCATGGTCCTAACAGCAGAACAGCAGCCACATGTGGAGTTTCTCCACAGCAGGGATGGACATTGACATTAATGTGCAATGAAGTGACAAGATGGGAGCAGAATAAAAGAGCTTTGGATTTGAAGTGATTTTTTTTTTCATAAATTATTTATTCCTTTTTTTTTTTTTCCTTCTGTAAATATATTTATTTTATTGTGAAGCTAACAACATCTGGATTGTAACATGTACAGAATGTATGGTAGGAATGTATCCTCTTGTAGGAATGTAAATCTCTATGGAAGAGGGTGTGGGAGCCAGATTCAGAGAACATGAATTGAGTTCCAGTCAGGTTGCGTATGGTTCAATGCGAGTATTTTTGTAACTCCCCCCACTCTTTCTAATATGGGTCTGGTTGTTTGAAATATGCAAAAAAAGGTATGGATGAGGGACAGTTTTAGGTTCAAAATTCATCCTAATCAGGCTCCTACCCTGTCCACGCTGGTGGCGTCCACAAGCAGGAGGCAGGAGCTAATGCATCATCCCCGTCGTGCTGGCCTGGCTGATGTTTGACAAAGGGGAATCTCTTTCTGTCACTCACGGGAAGCCCAGCTGAAGTCCCCGGGGCTGGAGAACATCACAGGATGGCCCCTTTCAGCCCTGGAAGGGGTGACAGAGCCGCAACCACCTCATTGCCAGAAGGCGAGGCCAGGCACGAAGCCAGGACCGCGCTGTGCACGTGCGGCAGAGGGTTCAAGCTACCTGCGCTGCCCCGTGAGTCTGACCAGCCCGTCCTTGGACACCGCAGGACCACGCAGCCCCGTATGCAAAGGAAGGGGAACGTCCCTCTTCAAGAGACCGTCTTTGAGCAGCATCATAGAGAACTGCACCCACCAGTGGCAGCTTCCTTGCGGGCAGTGGGGAAAGCATCGCGGTAAAGCCGCCGTCTGAAGCAATCACTGCGAGAGTAAATCTGGACCTTGCGAAAGGTAATTTGGTTTTTCCTCGGTGCTGTGTGGCGACAGCCTGGGTTGTTTTAAACCAGTGTTTGAACCCCAAAGTTTGTGCTTTTATCACCATTAAATTGAGTAAATCGCGATGGGTCCTGTCTGACAAACGGTTTAATTCACTCCAGCACATTGTGAGCTTCTTGTTCTTGTTACAGGGTTTCTTTCGGTTTGGTTTTGGTTTGGTTTTCTCCCCCCATCAGGTTTCAGGATCCTGCTTCTGTGCAAGTTGCTTTCAGTGCTTCTGTTAATGAATGAGACTGAACAGTTTTCAAGAAATTAGTTCCTTTTAAGCACTTTTTCTTTTCTTTATTATTTCTTTTCCCCCTGAAAACTGCGCAAGTTCTGGAGCCTCTGGAGACACACCAATTGCAGATAAAATCCCAACCTCAACTCTATCTAGTTCGGAGCGTTACCTGTACGAGCGCCTGGAAGGGCCAGGATTCTGGATAAAGTGTAAATAGTGTGACATGTTCAGTGCATGGATTTTTGAACAGGGCTTGTTATTGTCAAAAAAAAAGAGAAAAATATATAAAAAAAAAGAAAAAAGGCTGTATTTCCCCTTCCCCTCCCACAGACCTTAGAGCTGTGCCTTTTCTATGCAATATTACAGACATATACATCTGAAACCAGATTACTGTATTCACATGTAGGTATGGGCTGTAATCAAAAAAAAACAATTGGACAAATGTACATGGAAATGAGCAGTCTTACTTTTGTAGTTTTATATTATACAATAAACAATTAAAATAAACTCTGGCTTTGATTTGTTCCGCAAACAAAAGGGGATGGAAAGGGGGAGACAGAGCCCATGGGCCTCATCCACCACGGGGTGTCTGTGGGAGTTGGCAGATTGGTTTGGGTTGGAAGGGACCTTAAAGCTCACCCAGTTCCAACCCCCTGCAATGGGCAGGGGAACCTTCCACTAGAGCAGGTTGCTCCAAGCCCCTGTGTCCAACCTGGCCTTGAACACTGCCAGGGATGGGGCAGCCACAGCTTCTCTGGGCAGCCTGTGCCAGGGCCTCAGCACCTCACAGTAAAGAGCTTCTGCCTCATGTCTGATCTAGATCTCCCCTCCGTCAGTTCAGAGCCATTCCCCCTTCTCCTATTGCCTGTAGAGAGTCAGGAGCACACAGGGGTGGGACAGCCTGCTCTCTGTCACCCCCTCCCTCACCTTATACAACAGGTCACCTTGTGTGAGGCCTGTTCCTCACATTGAGGTGCCCTCAGTGACCATGTCCTGCCACCCTTCACGGATAATGTGTGCCAAGGGTGCTCAGCCCTGATGCAGTACAATCTGCGGCTCTGATTGTGTGTTACTAGGGTGCTGCTTAGTTAGCCGAGAGCAGAACCTACCCGCTTTTAATACATATAATGCACTAGGCCTTTAGGGCGTTAAATCCCAGCAGGAAACATCTGATACCTTAATCCATTGCTTCATTTATCAGTGCCCTATTATTTCCCCTTTATCCCCCTCCCAGGTGACTGCTGTTTGCTTTCAGGGCCAGTCAGGAGGGAGATCTCACCCCATCTTTGTCTCCAGCCTTTTGTGGCCATAGCTCATAGAATGGTTAGGGTTGGAAAGGGCCTTAAGATCATCTAGGTCAGTGTGTGCAGGCCACCAGTGCCCTCTGAACAGTGAGTCTCCCATCCTCACCCACTTCTGCCCTCCTACACCCACAGAGACAAAACTGCTCCAGTTTTGCGATTACAGCGACCCAAAAGCAGCAGTTTCCCCATCCCGACGTGCCGCACATCCCAGTGCAACGCCAGGGAACCGGCCTGTGTTGCAGGGAGCTGGCATAGGAGGCAGCACCACCTCTGAAGAGCTTCTTTCCTCACCTGGAACTTGTTAGTGAGAGATGCAAAGCCCTGCTCACCCCTTCCCTAAGTGAGTGGCTTCCCGCCTGCTCCAACCTCCAGCATTGCTTTGGGCTTTTAAAATGGGGTACCCATGCAGGGTGCTTGCTCTGGCCTGGGGGCAGCTGCCAGGCTTCTGTGCACAGCCAGCCCTTGCTCGAGCTTGCTTCCATGGGGAGCAGGGCTGGGGTTCAGCACTGGTACTGGTAGGCAAGGCTCAGGTCAGGTACCTCACTGACACCACAGCAGAGTACAGCACGCAGAGGTGATGGGAGCCTGGGTGTCCTCAGGGCTGAAGGAGCTCCAGGTGCCCCAGGAGCAGGATTTAAGCAGAGGAGCTGCAGTGCTGAGCTCCTTGCCAGCAGCGATGGCTCGGAGCTGGCGAAGGGCTGCATCCAGCCCCATCACCACGAGCAAAGGGCAGCAACCCCACAGCTGACAATGGCCAGCACGCTCCAACCTGGGACAAGCAATTGGAGGATTCAGGTGTTGTGGCCAGGCCACCACCAGCGTTCACAGACCCTCCCCAGGTAGGTGCCATTGTGGGTAGAAACGCACTCACAGGCGGCACTGATGCAAGGGTGGGACAGCAAAAGGCACCTTGTCCTACCCCTGTCTGCAAGGGATAACGCTTCCTGCCTCTGCACATCTGACCCGGGCCTGGGGGGGGGGTGTGAGTGTTCCAGCACCAGCAACCAGAGCGAGCCCAGCTCCTGGCACAGCTTCCCCGGGTCACACACATCCGCTGCCCACCAAACACAGCAGAGAAAAGCCACTGGGGATAAACCCCCTCCAGCCACAGGCAATGCTTCCTGGCGCTGCTCTGAACCAGCGCTAACCCATCAGCTGGGGCAGGTCCATGGGGATGCCGCCTCCACGGCTGAGCTGTGCCAGGAGCCTTTGCTCCCTGATCCTCCCCGTTTTCCACTTCATCCCTTTCCTCCTGGCTCCTTCTCCTCCGCTCCCTCTGTGCCCACGGCCCCGCTTGCCTCCATCACGGGGGGCTGCGGGCTCCTCTCTGCCCCGGTCCCTTTGTGCATCACCAGCTCCCTCCTCCCGCAGCGCCTCTCCCTCCTGCAGAAGCTGCCTTAGCAGCTGGCAGCCCGCTCGTCCTCCCACCCCCTGCTCCTCCTCTGAACACTGGGATGCGCTGGGGGGGGGGGCAGAGCCGTGAGCCCTGCTGTGCTGTGGGATCCCTGTGTGTGTGGCACCGGGCTGGGGTCACCCCCCAGCACCCATCCTCTGCGATGAGTGACCCAGGTAAAGCCGGGTGCTCCGGGGGCAAGGGCTCTTCCTCACCCTTCTTCCCTCTCTCTTTCCCAGCCCAGCCCGTTCCTCCCCAGCTCCAGAGCCCCGCCGGGTGAAGGCACATCACGGGCACAGAAGGAACAGGCTTCAAATCGCCCATTTCTTCAAGGATTTCCTTCCATTCTTCTGGCCCTGCCGTGCCCACCTCATGCTGCTCTCCCCGGGGCTACTTCCTCTCCCGTTTCCTCTCCTTTTCCCCCTATTCACTGGGCTTCCTCCCCCTGTTCCTCCCCTTGCTTTCTCTCCCTTTTGTTCAGCCTACAGCCTTCGTTTCTTGCTGCCTTTGCATCTGCCTTGCTGGTGCGAGCAGGGATGCCACGGATCCTGTGCCTGCATTTGTATGTGGGAGGAAAAAGCCATGAACCCCTGGAAGTTTGCTAGGAAACAATGCTTGGTCAGGGCAACCTCACCCTTGCTTTCCCTGCGCAGCTCACACAGGAAGGGATGGATCATTCAGGTTGCTCCAAATGGAGTTTATTGTATTGCTCACAGTCCCCCGGCAGAGCTAACCCTGCCCGCTATGGGGTCTGCATCCCGTACATAGGGACAAAACCCCCTTCCCCCTGTGCCAGCGTCATCTCTTATCACTGCCTTCTTCCTGCTTGCCCGGGGTTAACACCGCGGCAGCACCTGGCTTCAGCCACAGCTTCCTCCCGAGTCCTCCAGCACCATCACACCGAGCAATGCATCTCCCCGCTGCTCGCTGGGGAAGCCCAACACAGCCTCAGGCTGAGCGGGGAGAAGGGCAGGAGACCCCCGGGGCAGGGTCCAGAGGGGAACCGCAGCGTTCGGGGCTGCGGCTGCGGGTGGCTCCGAGTCCTGCTCCGGTCGGGAGCAGCGTTCCCAGGCGGGGCCGGGCACCCGGCTCAGCCCCGGCCCGCGGCGGATACCGGTTTCCAGAGCCGCTTGTGAGCCCGGGCTCTGCCCTCACAGCTCTCGCCCCCAGCACAGGGAAGAAGCTGTTTCTGCCGCCCTGAACGGGGCTGAGGGTCCCTGATGGCTGCCCCCGGCTATAGGAGACACACAAGTGAGTGCTCTGAGTTCAGTGCAAGGAGCACCTATTCCCACCTGTCCTGCACAGCTCCGTTCTGAAAGCAGCAGATGACCAGCTGTAGGTGCACCAGAGCATCCTGCTTCCCTCCAGGCTATAGGCATGGACCTCCGTGAATGTGGCTGCAGGGACACAGCTTTAGGGTACGCAGGGGCTGAGGGATGATGAGCTGAGCTGACAGATCTCAGCTTTCGCTGGGTGGAAGCAAGAGCCGGGTCTGGTCCCCGACCGTGTCCCCCAGAGGAAAAAGGTACAAATAGAAGCAGTGGTGCTGCCCCAAAACCACACAGGGGCTGGCCAGAGCAGGCCAGAGAGAACCCAAAGACTTGCTCCTGGCTGTGGAGCTTTAGTCCAAGCAGGAGCTTTGGTGGGAGACGACAAGGAGCAGCTCCAGGATCTCAGAAGCCTTTGGGGGTTACCTGTGGGATAGGTATTAGAATAATAGATATCAGCTTCTCCACAATGAGGGTGCTGAGTTGCCCAGAGAAGCTGTGGCTACTCCATCCCTGGCAGTGTTCAAGGCCAGGTTGGACGAGGCTTGGAGTAGGAGTCCCCACCTGTGGCAGGGGGTTGGAACTGGATGAGCTTTAAGGTCCCTTCCAACCTGAACCATTCTATGGATCTATGACTTGCACATCCCTGCTGCAGTGACACAGGAGGACAGCAGCAGCACCTCTGTGAAGGTGGAAGCTGCTGACAGACGCTGGGGAACAAAGCGAGGGCTGAAACACATCCCTGAATCACCTGCCACGACTTGGTCCAACCAGTCTGAACCCCCCCAGGAGCTCACGGACAGCCCCGGGCTGTGCAACCCCAGGGACAGGGAGTGGGGCGGCAGGGAGAGGAACGCGTTGGGCAGGAGGGACGGCTCTGCCGTGCGGCCCCAGGGATGCGCTCGGGAAGGCTGCAAGTCCCGGCTTGTTCCCTGCTCCCGGAGACTGATTCCTGCCTCCCTCCCACGCTCCATGCTCCTGCTGCGACCTCCCTCCTGGCACGGCTCTGTGCAGCCGCTCCCTCCGGCACCCGGAGAGCATGGAATGGGTTGGGTCGGAAGGGACCTTAAAGCTCATCCACTTCCAACCCCCTGCCACGGGCAGGAACACCTTCTGCTAGACCAGGTTGCTCCAACCTGGGCTTGAACACTGCCAGGGATGGGGCAGCCACAGCTTCTCTGGGCACCCTGTGCCAGGGCCTCAGCACCCTCACAGGGAAGAATTTACTCCTGGTGTGGGATCAGATCAAACAGGAGCCTAGAAAACAGGGCCTGTGGGGAGCGGAGATGCAGGGGATGAAGCGAATGAGGCTGGGGAAGGAGAAGGGCTTCAAAGACATGGGGCTTGCTCAACCAAAGTGTCCTTAGAAGGGATGGGAGAAGATCTGACCATTCGAGTCCACAGGCGGCTCCTGGGCCATAGTGAATCTGCTTGGCTCTAACTTCATTTCATGCCTCACCCTAAGCCAGGGTCAGAGCTCTCCAGAGGTGGGAATAGAGGAAATAGATTTAAAACCACAGAACACCCCTCTCCAGGTAACGC